TACACCTGGAACAGAAGGTGAGGGTCACCAGGAACAGCCCGCTGAAATAGAGGAACATCCCTGCGAGATGAGTGACGGTTGAAGAGTCCGAGAGAGGAGCCACCAAAGAATCCAGAGGGACTGCAGAGAGAAGGACCTGCGAGTATTGGTCAGGTCCAGATTGCCTAGAGCTGCTTACACCTGCTCAAACCAGGGACAAGAGAGGGAGGGAAACTGCCCCCCTCTATTTTTAGAAGAAGGTGACCCTTTACCAGCTCCTAATCAGGAGCAGGGAAGAAGTATAATCTTGCAGTGAATATGGAAACATTGATTAATACCCTGAGCTGGACATTCTAATTTCTGAATTGAGACTGTGTTTTGTGCTGAGAAAGTTCCAGCGCTGCTGACACTTTTATCCAGTGGAAGGGGACTGTGAGAAACACAAGTTAAATAGGCAGGTATTTTACTTACATCTCGTGGGTTCTGCTAGTTTAGCGTCCCATTTACATTGGGGTCTCATTTTCCATTGAGGAGAAACTGTAATTCACCCATCTTTCAGGTAATCAGGGGTGGAACCCAAACTGGAATTGGAGCTGCATCACTCCAGCGCCTGTGACAGGACAGGGCTGTGGGGAAAGGGCAGCCAGGACCTCCGTGGAGACAGGAGAGCAGGCAGCTCCTGAAGACCACCCCGGCCCCGCCGCCTCCCCCCGCCCCGCTCCGCAGAGCTGGAGGCTGAGCCTCTAGGAAGGGCAGGGCTGCAGCTTCTGCGGGGGCCCTGGTTACGGGGCCCTGGGTGGGGCTGCTGGAGAAGGCTTTTCGGGATCCTTTCTCCCACCTGCTGCTCCTGCTCCAGGTTTCCTAAGGAAGGGGTGGGGGTTGGACGAGGCCGCTTCTCTCCAGTTCCACGGCTCCTTCTCACTCTGTTGAGCTGAATTCCCCCTCGAGCTTCACCCATGACCTAAAAACTTAAGTTACACTGAATTTAGGCACATTGCGGCTGGGGTAAGGGAGGGTTTGTGCAAAGGAACCCACTTTTCTCCATGGCCACTTATGTTCATCTTGAGTACCAGCGACAGTGGTCTGGGACCTTCCGTTTTTCCTTAGCTGGACCACTGCTCTGGGCTTTTAACCTGTTCCCATTTTTATGATAGACCCCTACCCACCCCACCCCACCAGCCTTTATAATCTATTCTTCACAAAGCTCCCAGAGTGAAAAGTTAAAAATATAAACAAGATTATGTTAATATCTCGGTTAAAATTCTCCAGTCGTGCTCAGAATACAAGCTTGTAAAGAGGGCCTAAAAGTGTCTTCGTGACCCCGCCCCTTCTCTCCGGCATCCTCTCCTGTCACTCTGTCATTCGCCCTGGCCACCCTGGCTCTCTGCGTGTGGCTGGGCTACAGGGAGCTCTAATTACTTTTTCTCAGGAATACTCTTGCCACTGCTCTTTGCCTGGCTAGCTCCGGCTTCTCTTTCATGCATCCGTTTAAATGTCATTTTCTCAGAAAAGTCTGTACCTCCCGTTCTCTTACAATTTTCTTCAGAACACTTACCATTCTTTCGTTACTTATTTGTGTTTAATGTCGAGTCTGTCCCCATTCTGAAAGCTCCATTAGAGTAAGGGTAGAATCTGGTCGGCTCACCACCACCTGTATCCCCAGAACCTAGCACAGCGCCTGGTATACAGTGGTGCTCAAAACAATGTGTCGACCACAGGAATGACATACATGCTGTGTCATCTTAGGTGCCCACAGGCTTCCAAGTGTTCATCCTCTATGCTGGAGGGGCCAGGAGGTCTGAGCGCAACCTTCTAGATCTCTCAGACCCGGAGAGCCAGTGGCCCTGAGCACAGAATCACCCTTGTTAAGAGAAAGACCTGTGTTAAAGACCCAAATGCATCTCTGGTGATTCCAAGTTGTTTACATTCACTTTCACATCATTAAAACTGGACTAAGAATGCCTCTCTCAGAGTTCTGATTATTAAATGAGTGTGAGAGAGGGAAGACACTTGTAAAATGCTTGCTTTGTGCTAAACCCTATGCTGGATCCTTTCTGTATTAGCACATTCAGTGGGAATGAGTTTTATGAGCTCCCATGTGATTAGCATAGCTCTAGGTAAGCAAGATTTAAATTATTTGCCAGTATTTCAGCTCACAGCAAATCGGAGTACATTGATTGTCCATTTGGTTATGGTGGCAATTGTGGCACCACAAATCCCATGCAAGAGATATGGGTGTCATGCAGGATTCTATGTGGCTTCTAGCACGATACTGTCCGCAAATTCCCCAGCCATTTAAAAAGCAGAGGCTGGCTTCCCAGCTTCTCTAGCCTAGCCGGAGTACAAGACCTTTGTAAACTAGTGGAAAGACCAGAACTGAGACTGTGTTGACAAAACACTCTTAAGGACTGGGTGAAATGGACTCCTCTTTCCTCAAGTGCAAGTGTGGCAGATTGATAAGCAGGCCACAGAGCTTGTCCCTTTCCTTGGGGCTTGACTATGTCCTCCATTCCCTGAGGCTTTACCCTCAGGTAGGTAAGGCCAGTGAGTTCTGGCCAGTGATGTGAAAAAATGTGTTACATTTTTGTGTTACATTTTTGAGCAGTTCTCATGCATAATCTTCCGTGCTCTTTCCCATTTTGCAACATGTGGAGGAGGCTGAAGCTAAAAGATGGAAGGAATGAAACATTACTAAGATGGTACTTTCCATCCCTGGGGCTTCTACCCACCTCCATGGCATCACTAAGACAAGACAAAGCTTCAGGCATCAAAGTAACAGTAAGGCAGAGATATGAATCACTGCAACTTTGCTGACTTGAAAGTCTTACTTTAGCCTAACTAGAATTCCTGAGGCAAGTATACACAAAGGTATTAAAACAAAGCTGTTATCTAATTGGATGAAGAAAGCAGCCTTTCAATTCACTTGGGCCTTTCTTTGATACTCAACTACATTCAAAAGATTCTTTGGATTTGATTAACAATTGTTAAACAATTTAGAAATTGTTCTAAAGTGTACATATGTACACTTCAAGTATTATTTGAGGAGCAGTCTGCCATCTTAAAGCTAAGGAGCTCAGGAAGCTTTAGGAAATGTTTATGATTTCCAATATTCAACAAATTTCAATAAAATTTACTAGGGTAGTACTTAATGGATACTTTTAAACAGGTTGAAACCTATTACTAATATTAAGGATGACAGACAATAAATTATGCAATCAAATTTTTTAATAACAAAGATACTAATTTTAACATGGTCAAATATACTTGGCTAAGTCCAGATTTTAAAAAACAAAAGTATCTAGCCCAACAGTACGACCATACAGCTTTGTACAGAACATTCCATAGATCAACAGAAAATACATTTGAGCACAAAAATAAAAAATATTTAAAGAGAATCTCTAAGCAGCATTTTATTTCTGCAAAACAGACATATATCTTGTACTGATTAAATATCTACAAGTGCTTTTCCTTTACAAAAATACATATATTCTTAATAGACTAAGTCATTAACAATGACCTGGTAATCTTTCACTTCAATTTGAATGATTTATAAGCTAAATCTTACAACCACAAAAAGGTTTTTATTTGTATTAAGATGTTACCACTTTTGACAAAAAAAAAAAAAAGCTTATATCTTATATTTTAAAGGAAAATTAGCAACATAACTGTACAATATATTCTATGACACTTGTATTTAACGTGAGGGCTACTCTATTAAAAACTGGTGCTTGCTGTTGTGTTGCCAGATGCAGGAACGCAGCGGAACACTGGTGCTCCCCTCACAGGCTCTTGTCGTGGACCACAGCTTCATAAGGACACTTAGGCCCCATCCCCATTCTAAAAAATACAGCAGAAGAAAACTGACCCCAAACAATATTAGGCTGATCCCATTACATTTCTAATGTGTACAACTCCTGCTCCAGTGGACTGATGTGAAGTCTATGGATAAATAATCTATTTAGTATACGTTGCCCAGAAATATTTAATCTTCATTTGTACTAGATTAGTTTCCCATTCCACGAAACTCTGAAAGACGAAAGAAAACTAGACCCAGTATTTAACATATCAGCTTCAATTGACTCTAGATTTAAGGATGATGAAAATTAAAAAGCATTTCTGAACAATGTCTCAGTGTGGAATATTAGAAAAGGGGGTATAACAGGTATACAGACACATTGTAATAAGCATTTAAAAGAATTAAATTATCTAATTTCATCTGAAAAGGAAGTGCTCAAGCATTTTAACTGTTTGAAAATATAGTAAGAACAGCAAGTAAACACACTATTTGTGGAAATTACACTAGGAATAGAACCACTTTTAAGTTATTGGGAAAATGCCATTG